GTTGGTGGTGCCGTTGGTGGTGCCGTTGGTGGTGGAGGAGGTGGAGGTGGTGGTGCCGTTGGTTGTGGCGTCGGGTTGAGGGTGCTGATCTCAATTGCTGCATCGTTTCCGGACAGAGAGAGATAAGTTATGAAAACGTCTGTGTTTGAATTCCTGAAATTTGTTATTGTGTGGGTTTCGCCGATGCCAAGTGACGCAACTTGCCAGCTTCTCCCATAAGAATTAGGATCACCCGATTCCTTCTGAAGAACAGTCACTTCGTTGATAGATGTAGTTGTACCTGAGTTGATACCAACAGCTTGGTTGTATCCGATATAATAATCTGTTCCGCTGGTTTCTCCGTATTCGATGAGACGCATTGTTACAATCTTGTTCGGGGAGCTTCCATCAGTACTGTAGTAGTTGATGCCGTTCAAGATATATGTTTCGCGGTTGTTTGATAGAGCAAGAGGATTGATTGCTATTCTCTGATTATTGTACCATCCCAATTGATAGTTTTTTGCAGCATTGAAACATTGGCGAGGGTAATCATCATAGAAATAGGAATATCCCATCATGCCAGAAGTATCGCCATATTCGTCTCCTCCTCTTCCACTGTGACCCAAACCCATGTTATGACCAACTTCGTGAACTAAGGCGGACATACTTGAACAAAAATTATCGTTGTAATATGATTGGTAACCATATACCGCAGCAAATGCGAGCCAACTTCCGGTTCCGGGAGGCAGACAGTAGAGAACGAGATCATATTGGGAAGCTCTAAATTGTCTTTGTGCCGCTCTTTCCGTGGCATATAGTACTGCATTTAAACCTGAAGTAACAGGAATGTCAAGAGTAACATCCACGACCCCACCAGTACCGACGCCAGCGGGTTGGATGGTGACCTGGTTGAAAGAGCATTCTTCGTATCGTGTCTTCAAACACTGATTATCCAAAAATATGTCATTCTGCAATTGCGTAACACTGGATTGTGCTGCACCGTTACTATCTATGACACGAACTACCAAAACATTTTGCGTGCCTAAACTTGATGCAAGTCGACGGCGATGTCTCAAGTCCTTTTCGGCAATCTTTTCAACTATCACCGTTGCTTCACTCGGCACAACCATTGTCACTTCCGAAGTAGTGAGGGACTGCTCGATGATTGCCCCTTGTACCTTCATGATATAATGTCCCGAGATAGCCCCAGACATGTTGATGAACTCTTGCGAAACGCCTTCAAAGTTACATACCAACGATCCAATCTCCAACGACTCCGCTATACTGTCAGGAATTTCGCAACACCAAGTTTCCTCGTCGTGGTTTTCGTATTCAGTCATCTTCAGGTACAAAACAAAAGAATCGTAGGCTTCAATGAGCTGGCGGCGGTGATTGTGTTCGTTTGCAACGACCTCTCGTTGACGACGAGCGAAAGCAAGCTGGATCCAGTTTGCGGCGACGTATGTAGCTGCGAGAATCGCGATCCTGTTCAAATAAGCCATGATCGATCAATGATGGAGATCCAATAATACTCAGCCATGTATGTTTCCTTCAGTACGTATGATCCGCCGAATGGTCGTTGTTTGTCGGGGATGCCGAATTAAATTATAGGGTTATTTCAAAGTACGAAGAAGTTTTTTGTTACCGCAAACTTTGAGTACTTCTAGAAACATCGTGCGGTAGGCCATTAATTCATTCGGATTCTCCGGGCATGTAGATTTTGCACGATCGGAAATAAGCTAGTTCTCGGTGTGATAAAATGTGTGTTCAGATTTTGGCATATCATACTGTATTGTAATCATGCAGCTATCCATGTCATTACAATAGTCGAAAAGTGTATTAAATAGCAGAAAAGGAAACTACGATTACGTAAGTGCTCGATCGTCCTGTACGTACGAGTACTTCAGGTTTTTGCAGATAATATTGTTGACACACATGAAGCAAAGAGTCAGAAACGCGGAAAACTTTCACATCATGCTTCCGAGTGGACAAAATACGAGTACGAGTACCCTACGAAACGGAACTACTCGTACCAGTAGTAGTACGCTCCGCACCGAATCGTCATTATTCCTGGAGAGCCCCCGATCGTGCGTTTTTAAATACTACGCGTAAAATAACAATTGAACTTTCGTTAATCAAGGGGTTCGGAACGTTAATTTAACGTTCCGAATGTTAGTGTTAACATTCCGAATGTTAGTGTTAAATAAAGAGTGAGCTTATTCATTATCTACTCGTGATTTAGGCTCACATTCCGTACTTTAGAGACGTGGTCGTACGTACATATTGTACTAAAACCGGTGGTGGCACGCCGGCAGGCCAGCAGCCGCAGATCCAGCTGGACCAGCTGCTAAGCGAGGAGGAGCAAAATTGATCTATTTCGATGGATCCTAGTACAAAGCTGTGTAGAAAATCCTGTAGAAAATCGTGGATCAAGGAAAACCCTTGCCATTTTGCTCAAAATAGAAGGGTTTTGTCTCCGGGTACAAAATTGTACTGTGTCCTACAGTGGTTGACCTAAACTTCCCTCCAGCGTGCTAAACTGTTCTTTTCATTCATTCTAAAAAAACTAACTGGTCCAAAGCAACTGACCATGGGAATCGCTCCATTTCAAGCACTTCCACGCACTCTTTCCTACTGTACTTGGTATCAATCGATATCTCTCTTCCACTGTCGATTGAACAAGCCCTGAACTGTAGCAAAGGACCCACCACTCTAGAAGTATTGTTTTGGTGTGTTACAGTACAGTAGCGACGCTTCTGACGAACAGCATCCAGCAGTATGAGCAATGATTATGGAGGCTCACTGATATGGAGGATGCTAACTGATAAGGAGGCTCCCTTGCTGGTGATACGGAGGATGCTAACTGATATGGAGGCTCGCTTGCTGATACGGAGGATGCTGATGAGGATCCAGGGAGGGATAAGAGACCATTCCCCTATATTGGAGGAGACAGTGCTTGTAGTTTGGTTGCTGAAACAACAAGAAACAACACTGAGACGGTGGACGCTGATACGGAGGACAGCACTGATACGGGGGAGGATGCTGATATAGAGGCTCACTGGTACAGAGGATGCTGTTGCAGAGGATGCTGATACAGACGAGGATGCTGATAAGAGCCACTGATATGAGCTGCTGATATGGAGGCTTGCTGATACGGAGATGCTGATACAGAGATGCTGATACAGAGATGCTGATACAAGTCGCTGATACGGAGGCTTGCTGACACAGTGTCCGCTGATACAGAGGATCTGCTGATACGGTACAGATGCTCGCTGATACAAGCTGGTGATACAGAGGATGCTGATGTTACGGCAGCTTCCGCTGATGGCATCCGCTGATAGGGAGGCTTCTGATGAATCGGAGCCTTCTGCTGATATGGAGGAGCTGCTGATACAGAGGAGCCGATGATACGGAGGCTCGCTAATATGGAGGACGCTCACTGATTTGATCACTATTCTTTGCTTCAAAAAAGGACACTGAGGAGCTGCTGATACGGAGGCTTCCACTGATAAGGAGACTATACGGAGGAGCCGGTTATAAGGAGTCTTCTGCTGATACGGAGGTTTGCTGCTGATAAGGAGGCTCGCTGCTGATACGGCGTCCGCTGATACGGAGGATCTGGTGATACGAGTCGCTGATAGGGAGGAGCCGGTGATACAAATCCCTTATATGAGTCGCTGATACGGAGGATGCGGATATGAGTGGCTGATACGGAGACTCGCTGATATTATCAGTGGTGAGCCTCTGTATCAGCATTCTCCATATCAGCAGCGAGCCTCTGTATCAGCATCCTCCGTATCACCCACTCATATCAGCATCCTCCGTATCAGTAGCGAGCCTCAGTATCAGTAGCGAGCCTCGGTATCAGTGAGCCTCCGTATCAGCGAGGGTCCTCCGTATTAGCATCCTCCGTATCTGCCCCTCCATATCAGCAATTCGTATCAGTGATTGGGTGATTCCCATAAACATAGAATCTATGCTGACATACTTTGCGTCTATGACTCAACGGGAATGAGTATGTAAAAACTTAGAATCTTAGATATTGAATTTTGGCACACTACATGTGCTTAATTTAGGAATATGGAATTTTGCTTGAAGTTAACAGAAAATAATTGCATTCCCCCGGCAGTCGTTGACACTTGAGAACTGGCTGTCAGTTGCTTGTGACTAATGAATTTTTGAATCAAGGATTCCAAAAAATCTATGTGTTGTTTGCATACTTTTGGTTGTCGAGAGCCTGCCTGAACCAAAAATCTATGTATCTGTGTCAAAAACACATACTTCTATGTGTGCACGTCTGAAGTCTAATACAATTTTACTTAAATCTATGTTTACGGGAATCACCCATTTGTATCAGTGATTTGTATCAGTGATTCGTTTCAGCATCCTCTGTAGTATCAGGATCTCTGTATCATCAGTGAGTGTCCTTTGTCGTAAAAAAGAGTCGCCACTGTAACACACTAAAACAATGCTTCTACTGGATCCTTTACTACAGTTAAAGGCTTGTTCAATCTATAATCAAAGATATCTATCCATTGATACCAAGTACAGTGTATGATATTGATTGAAAGTGCTGCAAATATAGTGATTCCCATGGTCGGTTGCTTTGAACTGAGTATTTTGATTGAGTGAAAAGAACAGTTCTAGCGTGCTGGAGGAGACAAGTTTTTAGGTAGGCCACAGTAGGCCCCAGTACAATTTTGAACGCGGGATAAAAACCCAGCAAGATGCTGAACAGCTGCTGGGCCTGCCGGCGTTCCACCACCAGTTTTAGTACAAATTATATGTAGGCCTACTGTGCTAACCTCCGGAATGTTAACACTAACATAATCAGAACGTTAAATTAACATTCCGAACCCCTTCACTAACGAAAGTTCAATTGTTATTTTACGCATAGTATACTCATGGGATTGGCTGTTGAAAGAGATCACATGCGCCGGGCGCTCCGGGAAACTCCAACCAGAGGAACACTCTTTTGTTTTTGGGGCATAGAAAATTGTGTCTTTTGGGGGAGGACCAAAGTCACTATTAATTAACTTTTATATTGCCGATAATAAAGTTTATGAATCAAGTTAATTAACTTTATTAATTGAGTATATTAACTTTATTAATCAAGTTAATTAAATTTATTACTGAAATTAATCATTTTTTCTATCTAGCTATATTATCTTCGATGGGTTTGGCTATAGTGACAGAATATCATTTTCAAAGCACGTGCAAACCGGTCCTCAGTCCCACCAAAGCTCACTCAATGGTGCTGGAGGAGTTTTAGGTTGACCTGTTTAGGCCCCAGTACAGTTTTGAACGCGTGATGAAAACCTTTTGAATTAACTTGATTCAATTCCCGGGATTCAAAAAGTTAATTAATCAGATTAATTAAGTTAATTACTAATGAGGTTAACAAACTTTTAATTTGCCGATAATTAATTTTATTTTCAGACATTCCCCCTAATCAATTTCCATAAAGCCCCTGAACAGAGAACCTTCTGTGGAACAGATTTCCCTCTTCCCCCTCACCACTGACGTGTAATCTTGCTATCGAATACTCAGATATTAAAAAAACGCGCGACCAGGGGCTCTCCTGGGATGTATCATCTTGTATGACCCAAAGGGTCATTCATGAACTTATGTAAAAACGAGCCCCAATGGGTGATTGCCGTTAATAGATGTGCTACTTTTGATAGACTGACAGACTGAAAATTTAGCACATTTACAACAAAATTTATTATGTTTCATAGAGGTCAAACTGGTGTTATCAAATGTAATAAATTTTATGGTGGAATTCACGATTCCAAATTTCGAGTCTGTTGAAAGAGGACTCCTCAACAGAAAGTCTCGCCAAAATTAAGACTGAACCAACACAAACTTAAGACTCTTTTTTCTAAACAAGAGACGAGCAGCAGTTGCACCATGGTGCCTCTATTAACTATTGACACACATGAATAATGTTCCAGTTGGTGCTCTTAGTCATTACATTCTATTTCCTTTCTTTGTTATTGCAAAGAGAGCAACGAGGATACGAGGAGGAGGCCGGCAACCTCAAACAGGGAGCTCATTGTTGTCCAACCAACCTCAACAACAAACAACAAGGAGAGGAGGCCCACCATTGTCCCATCCCCCAAACTATTTTTGTATTAAACAACAGATGGCAGGAGGCACAAACACCACTGGCCGGAAGGCTGGAGTAGCAAACTACTCTCGTCATTATGAGCTACACAGTCTCATGGGCATGATACTGGGCAGGCTTCCCATTACTAGTTGGGATGGCTGGGATTCCATAGTGAATGATCATGCAAAGTTGTGGCCCTTCTTTTCAAGTCAGACATCCATCAAGACTAAGTATGCAGCAGTAAAGAGGACCAAGAGCTCAGCTGGGAATCCCAATATGCCAGAGTAGTTAGAAGGCAAATCTCGGTACTGGGGAGGAGGACTTTGATCTGAAGAAAGGCTACATCAGAAGAGTGAGGCTGTGGATGGTTCATTGACCAAAACTGGTGTCCCTGCTGGTATTCTTGCTGAAGTAGAAGAAGAAGTACCATTGATTGTTCTTGCTGGAGAGGAATCATCATCTGCTGAAGTGTCCCCTCCTGTTGGTGGAGAAACACCAGCAGCAACTTCT